CCCTCCTGCTTCTAGATCTGCACCTATGAGACCAAAACCAACCACACAGGCTTTGCCCACCTGGACTGCGAGATCAAGGGCAGGCCCTGCTGCATCGGCACCAAGGGCAGGTGGGTCATGGTGATGGGGGCACCTGGCCTGGCTTCCCCCTCTGCCCTCCTGCCTTCTGTTGTCCCAGCAGTGTCCAGAGCTGTGTCAGGGCAGGGAGGGAGGCTGTGGAGCCTTGGAGGGTGGGAAGCACGGTGGCAGCAGGACTGGCTGCCGGGAGCAGTGGGGGATGTTTGGGGGAGCTGGAGCATGCCCTGCCCTGAGTGAGCCTGCTGCCTGCCCTCTGCCAGCTGCGAGATCACCACGAGGGAGTACTGCGAGTTCATGCATGGCTACTTCCATGAAGAGGCAACACTCTGCTCACAGGTGAGTGGGTCTGGGGCATGGCAAGGGACACGGGGCATGGTGTTACTGCTGAAGGACTTTGAGTATCCTACCAGGAATGGGATGTGGTTGGGATGGTTGAGAGAAGAGGGATGTAAAATTCATGGACTTTCCCAACTGTCAGATGGGCTGCTGTGCCCACCTTGCTGGTGTCGGGCAGGAGGAAGCACAGGGCTTGAGGCAGCCTCACCTGGGCAGCACTGGTGTCTTTGGGAAAGGCACGTCCTGGGCAGGAAAACAACCCTTCAACATGTCCTGGGGCACCGGGGATGCTCAGCTGGATGTTTTTCCAGCACCTGTGCAATGCAGGTGCTCCACACCACAGGATCCCCCCACAGCTGGCACACAGCATCACTGGCCATGCATCCCTGTGCCCCATCCTTTGCTCTCTGTGGCTCTGAGGTCAGGGCCAAGCCCTTGTCACCCCCCAACCCTCTGCCTCTGCAGGTGCACTGCCTGGACGAGGTCTGTGGGCTCCTGCCCTTCCTCAACCCGGAGGTCCCTGACCAGTTCTACCGCCTGTGGCTGTCCCTGTTCCTGCATGCTGGGTGAGCCAGGGGCCCCTGCACCCCCAGGGGTGGGGAGACTGGGGAGGACCTCATTGTCCATTGGGATGGTCTGGTACCCTTGTTGGAGTGGGAGAGAAGAGGGGAGGACACTTCCAGACTACAGCAACATGTGCCATCCGTGGAGGGTGTTTTGTGAGATGTCTCATGCCCTGGGGCAGTAGGTGGGATGGCTGTGCAGGTGTCTCTTAATGCAGGGTGTCTCTTCCCCCAGCATCATCCACTGCGTGGTGTCAGTGACTTTCCAGATGACAGTGCTGCGGGACCTGGAGAAGTTGGCAGGCTGGCATCGCATCTCCATCATCTTCATCCTCAGTGGCATCACAGGCAACCTGGCCAGTGCCATCTTCCTACCATACAAGGCAGAGGTGAGGGTTGAGGTGGGGCTCTGTCCTCATCACCTCAAACCCAGCCAGTTCCCCAGGGACACCCATCCCCATCCTGGCAGAGGTCTAGGGAAGGGGCTGGAGCATAAAGCTCTCATCCCCTGGCAGGTTTTGCTGCAGGGAGGGGTGAAGACTGACACCCTGGTGGCAGGGGGACGGGGTGTCCCTGCCCCACGTGTGGTGTTTGCACATGCTGTGTGTGTCACACGTCGCCACGTGTCGGTGTGTGTGCAGGGTCCCCGGGCAGGCAGATGGCTAATCTGCTGGCAGCAAACCCTGTCAGGGTTTAAATGAGATCACACCAAGAGCCTTAATCCCCCTCAGGACACATCAGGATGGGGCAGGGGGGGTTATGATCTGGGAGGGGGTGATGCTGCCTGGCTGCTGAGTCATGGAAAGTATCAGCTCTGCCAAAACAGCACTGGTGTACTTCCCTCCCCTTCCTCCCATGCCAAGGCTCCCACCCCTGAGCCCCGCACAGGGTTCTGCACAGGGATGCAGAAGCCAAAAGCATTTTGCAGGAGGAAGAGATAGTCCCTGGGGACATGGGGATGTGTCTGGAGTGATGTGTTCAAGGTCTGACTATGACTTCCCCTATCCCTGCAGGTGGGCCCTGCTGGGTCCCAGTTCGGGTTGCTGGCCTGCCTCTTTGTGGAGCTCTTCCAGAGCTGGCAAGTGCTGGAGAAACCCTGGAAAGCCTTCCTCAACCTCTCTGGCATTGTCCTTTTCCTCTTCATCTGTGGCCTCTTGCCCTGGATCGACAACATTGCCCACCTCTTTGGCTTCCTCAGTGGCCTCCTCCTCTCCTTTGCCTTCCTGCCCTACATCACCTTCGGCACGGTGGACAAGTACCGCAAGCGAGCCATGATCATCGTCTCCTTGCTGGTCTTTGTGGGGCTCTTTGCCTCACTGGTGATCTGGCTCTATGTCTACCCTGTGAACTGGCGCTGGGTGGAGTATCTCACCTGCCTGCCCTTCACCAGCAAGTTCTGTGAGAAGTATGAGCTGGAGCAGGTCCTGCACTGACCCTGCTGGTGGGGATGGGGCTGGGAGAGGTGCCAGCGGTGATGCTTTCCATGGGGTGGGTCCTCACCAGCCTGTGGGACATGGCAGTTGCTGCTCTGGGATGGGGCAGACCCTGGTCATGGCTTCATCCTCAGGGATTGCAGGTTTGGGGCCCCCCTGCTGAATGCTGGGGGTACAGTGACTGAGCCAGCCCTGCCTTGCACCCCTTTGGGGCTGCCTCCTGATGCTGAAAAGCCATAACTGGTTTGGGGACCAACTGTAGTTGCTTCCTGTATGGAGAAAGGGCTGAGGGAAGCAGGATTTTGGTGTATCCGTGGCCAGGCTGGACTACCAGCCCTGGGGTGAAGCTGCCCAGGTCTCCAGCCTGTGCCTCTGCCTGCCCAGGGCCCTGTCCCACCTCGGTGCTTCAGGCACTGCAGCTCATACTGTGAACACAACCCCCTTTTTGCAGGGGCACTTCTTTTTATCCGCAGCTCTTCAGGCCCAGGGCGTCCTCACTTTGGGTTCCCTGAGGTCTCAGCCATGGCTCTGAGATGTTCAGAGCTCAGCTTCAAAGGTATTTTTCAGTCCCCCTTTCCCTGAGGAAGTGCCTCCCCACCTGATTCCTCACTGAATGGAGAGGCAGGACTCAGGACAGGGGAATTCTCTTCCCCTTATTTCAGTGAATTTCTCTTTCTGGAAGGGGGGAAGTGGCACATATTATGTTTGTAGTGCCATGGTGGGAGGTAGGTATGGAGAAAAACATCCTGGGAGGCTTGTGTGCTGCTCCTGAAGCCCACAGACCCCTCAAGAAGCCCTTGGTGCTCCCATCTTCTGCCTTGAGTCCCTGCTGTTACCCCTTTCCCTTTTTCAAAGCTGAGACCCAGGTAACCCTCTCTGCCTCAAACAGTGGTGGTCAGATGGAGAAGTGCAGGACAAGGCAGTTGCCTTCTCTCTTCCCTGCCTGAGGCTTTTTTTTCCTGGGCTACTCTCCCCAGCATCTCCTCCTCCCTCCCACCAGCCTTGGCACGAAGGCAGGTCCTTCCTGGGGTCCGGGTGACCCCTCTGGGCTGGTTTGGACCCAGACTGGTGCCAGGCTGTGTCTCCCATGGTATGTGTTGGTTTGATGCTGGAGGCCTCATTGCTTTTAAATGGGGGGAGGTGGGAATCTTACAGTTAGGATGCCCTGGGATGAGTTTTCAAGGGCTGGGAGCTTGGCTCCTGCTCTACCCCTTGCCAGGTGAGCGCAGGAGCTGTGGTACTTGCATCCCTCCCTCCACCCTGGGCCAGTTTTCAGCCCTGATCCGTCCCTGCAGTTGCTGCTCCAGCCAAAGACAGATACTACACCTCATTTGTTTCTTTTTGATACTTTTTTAAAAAGCTGTGGGTTTTTTTTCCTCCCTTAATAAATTTCTACCTGTATTTAACAAGATGCATGAGGCCTCTTCTCCCTTCTTAGGTGTGGGGATGCTGCACTTTCGGGGGCTTCTATTTGTTTTGGTGATGCTCGATGTGGCAGGGAGGGAAGACTAGCTGGCAGTGCCTGGGGATGGTGCCCTGATGTGCCCCTCAAACCCCTCCCTGGGAAGGGACAGGGTTTGGAGGGTTTCAAGCAGAAGGAGAAGCCAAACACCTGGACCCACAGACCCTCCTGACCCTGCCTGAAGGCAGAGCCACCCCTGCCTGTATCCCACCCTTCACTGAATGACCTGAGGCTGGGTTTGCCCCTTCTCCCTTGAGGCTGAGGTGCCCCAAGGGGTGCTGGATGAGTCCCCTCGTGCCAGCTGGTGCCCTCCCTCCAGTCATCATGGCGATGCGATGGTCAGAGCAGGGTAGGGACACACATGGTCAGTGTAGAAAATCACCACCACATCTTTATTTGCTGCTTCCCAACAGTATGAGGTGTTTTCACAAGTCTTGTCCTGAGCTAGTTTTGAGTCTGGGACAGGGAGGATCAAGTGGTTTGGACTGGCCCCACAGGGAGGCTCTGCAACATGCAGCTGGGGATGGCTGTGAGCTGGGAATGTGCTCCAAGGGGTCTGGGAAGATGACTATGGTCAGGAGAGCAGCTGCTGGGACCTCTGGCTGCTCAGGGAGGGCTTGGCCATGGTGTGCTTCACTCACGGTGGTGCTGGAAAGGGGTGCAAGGTAGGGGCAGATGCATGTAGAGGTGCTCTGCTTGGTGTCTCAGCAAAATGTGGTGAGTGTAAGTGTCCTTAAACCAGCAGAGCTCCCAGCTGCTCCTAGGGTAAAGCCTTTCCATCCCAGGGGCTCATGACCCTGCAGCCCACCCAGGCTTCCCAGCACTGGAATAAAGGGTCTTGTGCCTTTATTCTGGGAGCCACCAGAGGCTGCCCCAACCAGACAGAGCAGTGGGAAACCAGTCTAAAGCAGAACTTGCAGCAGGACCAGGTGGGAATTTCTGTCCCCAGCCCTGCAGGGAAGGGATGGGGCAAGGCTGATATGGCTGGAAGGCAGATGTGGCAGAGAGAGTAGCTGTAGCCAGGGCCAGCTGGGGAAGATGGATAGCTGTGGTGGGGATGGAAAGGGGTCGCAGTCTATCCCCTGAACCTCTCTCCAGTCCCACCAGCGGGGCCGGAGCGGAGGGAGCTCAGCAGCCGCTGTTCCTGCGCATGAAGGCATGACCCCGCACAGAGTGCTGCATCTCGATGAAGGTCATGTCCCCCACTGCCACCTCGCAGGGGCCCAGAGCCTCGAAACCACACTTCTGGTAGAAGGGCACGAGGAAGTCTTCGCACATGAGCAGCGCGCGCCGGGCGAAGGGCAAACACCGCAGGTACTGCAGGTACCGCCACATCAGGATGGAGCCCTTGCCCTGCTGCCGGAAGGTGCGGTGCACTGCCAGCACGTGGATGTGCACAGCCGTGCCCTGAGGCTTGTGCAGGGTCATTGCTGCCTGGCGGGGGGGGGAGTGAGGGTTAGTGGGGCTGGGGGGTCCCATCGGGCTTGTGTCTGCTTCCTCAGCCTGATGAACCAGAGTCCACAGCCTCCCCAAAGGGAGGAGGGTCCTGGTGCCATCCCATTTCACCCCAAAGGGAGGAAGGGTCCTGCTGCCATCCCACTTTACCCCAAAGGGAGAAGGGTCCCCATGCCATCCAACTTTACCTCCACCTCCAAGGGAGGAGGGTCCTGGTGCCATCCTACTTCACCTCCACCCCCAAGGGAAGAGTGCCCTTATGCCATTCCACTTCCACCCTAAAGGGAGGACGGTCCTGATGCCATCCCACTTCACCCCAAAGGGAGGAGGATCCTGGTGCCATCCCACTTCACCTCCACCCCAAAGGGAAGAGGGTCCTGGTGCCATCCCACTTCACCCCAAAGGGAGGAGGATCCTGGTGCCATCCCACTTCACCTCCACCCCAAAGGGAAGAGGGTCCTGGTGCCATCCCACTTCACCCCAAAGGGAGGAGGATCCTGGTGCCATCCCACTTCACCTCCACCCCAAAGGGAAGAGGGTCCTGGTGCCATCCCACTTCACCCCAAAGGGAGGAGGATCCTGGTGCCATCCCACTTCACCTCCACCCCAAAGGGAAGAGGGTCCTGGTGCCATCCCACTTCACCCCAAAGGGAGGAGGATCCTGGTGCCATCCCACTTCACCTCCACCCCAAAGGGAGGAGGCTCCCCATGCCATCCCTCTCCACCTCCCCCCATCATCTTTGGAGGCTTTTTAATTTTAAAATGAATGTTGAGGGAAATTACTTGGCAGATTTTTTTAACAGAATCATTAGAATTAATTAATGAGAGTTCATTTCCACCAGAGCAGCTAGTCCTGGGAGAAGACAAGGTGAATAGCTCCAGGGAGCTTCATCTGGTCCCCAGGCTCTGCCAGTACACAAGGTGGGAAGAACAGAGTCGTACCTGGCTGAGCCTGTCCTGGTCCCAGAGGGAGCCGATGATGAATGCCACGAGTCTCCCTTCCTCAAACCAGCCGAGGGAGAGCTCCGGGCACAGGTTCAGGAACTGGCGGATCTCATCCAGGTGGAGAGGACAGTCCCCAGAGACGGATATAAAGGCTGAAGTGGGATGGCAGTGAGCACAGTGAGGGGGGCCAAGGACACTCAGCCCCACTGATGTAGGGGAGGGAAAGCAGGATGTAAAGAGATGGCATGTGTCCTGCTGCCTGCTAGGTCTAAAGGAGTTCTAAGGGACATGTAGGGCTCCAGGGAGCAGCTCTGCTCCAGAAGCAGTGCCCATGGCCCAGTGACCAGCTCCTTGCTCTCATTGCTAATTCCAAAGCTACAGCAGTGGGTGATGAGTTGAACTCTCCCTCCTGGCACCTCCCCAGCTGTCCTTGCCCTTGGAGATTAGGGAGAATGGACTGGGTTAGTCTGGGTGAGGGAAGCTGAGGTGACTGGGATGGAGGGAAGGTTGCCAGGGAAGCATCTCAAAGTGCCCCTGTGCAATAGAAGGCAGAGTGTGATGTCCTACCTTCTACTTTCCCCTCTCCTATCCTGCCCTCTGCCTGTTGGAGAGCTGTTTTGAGAGAGCTGCTCCACGCTCACCTAGTCCTATTCAGACCAGGGCATCACCTCCCACCATCCCCACCCCAAGTGGCTGGGTGAGGTGGGGCCATGGTTCTCCAGCTCCTTAACCACAGCTCCCTCACCTCGTTAGGGAGTCTGGGGTGGCCTGGCCACAAGCCACAGCCACTGGATCCCATACACACAGTGGGGTTTGCCACCATACTGTGCACAAAAGGAGCACGAGGGACTGGGGAAGGAAAGGGATGGGTCATCTCCAAGTGGTGCCACCAGGCATGACCTGCCCTGGGCACCTTCTTACCTTCCCTCTCGATCTCAAAGACACTGACAGCATCCTCGGGGCTGAGGCAGCGGAACTCGCTGGCAGGCAGCGTGTGACGGCGCTGGCCCCCGGCAGAGCCTCGTGGGGACCTCAGGTGAACAGGCTTCAGGAAAGGCAATGCACTGAGTGCTGACATCCTCCTCTTCCTCTTCCCCCTGCCTTGTTTCCCACTGCTCTGTCTATTCAGAGCAACCTCCGGCAGCTCCCAGTGGCACAGGACCCTTTATTCCAGCCAATCTCCTCCAGCACTCTTAGCTGCTGGAAATACCTGTGGATCACAGACAGGATTAGGCTGCTTGTCCCCTTTTTCCTATACATGTCTGTGTATATACAGCAAATACCCTCCCACAGTGACCCCATTGCTGTTTGCTGGGGACTGGGAGCCTGGCACCAGTAGCAAACCCCAGTGACCAGAGGGACAAAAGCCTGTCCCAGATGGTGGGACAGAGAAGGGAGAGGGATCAGAGCTGTTAGAGCTGGAGCGGGTGTGGGGCTGAGCATCCTGCTCAACATCTCCCAGCCCATGGCAGCACCAAGCAGTGGGATGGGCAGGAGAGTCTGGGTCAAGTCAAGCTACTGCCCTGGGGACAGGCAGAAAGGGATTAGCTGCAGGAAGCCAAGAGGCTGCGAAACAAGCATCTCTGTGTGAAGGTTCCCTGTGATGCTCCTACATCTGTGGTGCAGCGCAGCTGTGCAAGGCCAAGAGGTTAGTGCTGGGCCACCAGGCGTGCACCAAGGAGCCCTGGCATGGACACGCATCAGACAGAGAGAGCCACCTCCTCAAGACAGCACGAGCTGACAGGATTTACTCCCTTCTCCAGCTCACTCAGCAGGTAAGTGACACAGCTTAATCTCTGTTGGGCTCTTAGGTCATGTCCAGGCTCACAACTGTGGGTCTGTGGCAGGACTCAGTGGGTGCCTGAGGGTGCATGCGTCAGGTGTCCTCCCTGGTGAGGTGCCCCCAGGCTTTCCTCCCTGCCCCAGGAGCTTTGGGTATCATGATCCCAGCAGACAGCCCATTCCAGGATGCTCCACCTGTGACACAGGACCCCAGACCCCTGAGTTCCCCCAAGGGAGTCAGCAGCACCCATCCTGCACAGCCCAGCCAAATCCCTTGACCTGGATCAGAGCCTGTAGCTTCGATCTGCCTCTGCTTTCACATGTGAGTGAATCAAGTTTATAAACACAGAGAGAACCACAAACTGAGCTAATAACCTTACTAAGCACATGCATTCTGCAAGTAGAAATAGTGGGAATAGCTCCCGGAGCCATTCATCAATCCATTTGTCCCTGCTCAGCCCAATGTTCAAGCAATTTGCAGCAAAGCCAGAGCAAAGCCAGGTCATTTTTGATTATTGTTTCAGAGGTGCTGGCTTTCCCTGCTAATTATAGGCTTGCCTCCAGCTAATAGGATTTATGGAAACAAAAGCATTACCAGCACAAACATTGCGCAGGGCAGAACCAGCACAAGCTGGGAATTTTCCATCCTGAAATGTCAAGGGCTGGGTGCTTGAAATGCCTGATTTCTCCAGTCCGGCGGGAGATGAGGTGGTGGTGGGATTTATTTTCAATGTATTGCTGGTTTGGCAGTGGATGTGTATCCAAGGGATCACATCCATCAGGGAAACAAGGTTTCCTTGGTGGGAGATATGTTTATCATCCCCAATGCTCATTCTAGTCACCAAGGACTGACTGAACTGGTGCTGGGAATGGGTGGTTCATACTCCTGAAGAAGGGGAGTAAAAGGGGTGAGCTGGAGGGGAGAGCAGAGTGCTGGGGGGGTTGTATTGTTTGTAGAGCTTGTTATCAAATCTTCTGGAACTCCTCATCCTGATAATTGGATTAGGGGCTCATCTACAAGGATAAATCTGAGAGCAGGCAAGAAGGTAGGCTCAGGACACCTAGAAAATGCAACGGTTGTTTGATCCTGGATGGTGCTGAGTGCCTGGGGCAAGTTCTGGAGATGCTGCTGGATCAGGCCTGGGGATGGCTGTGCAGGGATGGTAAGGCAGAGAGGTCAGTTGAGCATGGCCTTAGATAGGGCTGGCATTTCAGCTGACATGGGAATTATGAAGCTGGATTGTGGAACCATAGAATGGTTTGTGTTAGAAGGGACCATTAAAGGTTATCTAGTTCAACCCTCCAGCAATGACCAGGACACCTTCCACTAGATCAGCTTCCTCAGTGATGTTTACTCAGCAATAGTCACTGTTCAATGTTCACTGTCCAAGAGCAAGTCCTTATCCCAGAGCATATGAAGGCTGGAAAGAACTGAATTGTGGAAAGTCTCTCCAGGGACATCCACGGAGCTGGAGGGTTCAAAACCTCTTGTGCAAGTGGCTCTTCTGTTCCCATTAGAGATAACCAGGAACAGGCAATCATATCCCTCCAGCTATTTTTAGAAATTTCCTGAGACCCCAACCAGCAACAGCCTGGAGCAGTAATCAGTGATGGGGAAAGGCTGCTTCATGGCTTGTTTTCCTTGCATTTTTTTCTCCTCTGGCACTTCATTTCTGGCAGCCCAGGTTATACAGCTGGAGGGCTGATACATTTGTGTTTGTTTGCTGGAAATTAATTTCTTGCTTTGCTTCTCAGCTCCCTGCAGATGCAGAGGTCTTCTGGGGTGAGGGGAATACATAGCACAGAGGAACCAGCCAAGCTCCCCATCCCCAGAGAAAACCCTGCACAGCCATGGGGTACCAGCACTGCTGTTACACTGGGAAGCATCCAACCTGCAGAGGTGAAGGAAAATCACCCCAGGTCACAGAGTAAGTGAGAACCAAAGTGATGAGGAAAATCCTCTCTCCAGGACTTGAGACATCTCTTCTGATGCTCCAACACAGCCTCCTGTATGTTATTCAAGTCACTTATACCCCAGGCTGAATTTTGTGCTGTAACTTCTTGCCAGACCTGCCTGAGATGAACCCACTGCATGTGCATGTCATAGCAGTGGACCAAAAGCTCACTCTGCAAATTTCCTCCACCAAACTTGTGTTTGTGCACCATAAATGAGAGCATCTGCATGGTCCAGAGAGATGCTCACATGTAAATAAACAGGGAAGTCCACAGTGCCCACCTGACAGCATCTTTTATTAGGTTATGAATGTCTGCCTGGATTTGGAGCTGGTATATTTAAATGAGTTGGTAGTAAGGAGTTTGTCACCAAGTTTTGAAGTCAAATATTCTGTGCATAAGAGCTCAAGTTCTTGCCACACGCAGAACATGGAGTGTTTCAGTGAGGAGAGCCCTCATAGCCAGGTTTTGATAGCATATGTTGCAAGTGTAGGGATAGGACATGGGCTGGGATGAAAGTCATGCTCTTATCTACACAAAGTCACTTCTCAGCAAGCAAAGTTCCATGCACCCACCTCCCTCTCCTCTGGGGCAATTCCCCCCATCCTGGGGTACAGAGGCAAATCACAGTGGCCAGGGGACCACCAGCTGTCCCCAAGGCTGTTAGTACCACCAGGATGTAACAGAAATGTGGGTGCTTACCAGATGGGGACCCTGTGCTGCTCCTCTGCCCTCCTGGCTCTGCTGGTGCTGTCTCACTGCTGGCAGGACAGGAGGACACAGGGTTTTGCCTCCTCTCCTCTGTGTGCTGCATCCTCTGCAGCCCCTGCTAATATATATTTGTTATTTATGGAGCACGTGATGACATCCTAAGGAGTTTATAACTCTGATGAAAGACAGGGAGAGGTGAGAGGCTTTAAGGTGACAGGCCAGCAAAAGGATCACATCAGGCTTCTTTTTTTTTTCTCCCTGGCGTGACTGGCTGGAGAGGGATAAAGCATTTAGCTGATTGCTCTGCAGGCTGGGCAGGGAGAGCAGGGGACAGAGTCAGGAAAGGAGAGCAATGTTCTGTACCTGATCCAGACCTCTCTGACAGCATCAGGAGCCTGAAGAAAGCTGAAGGTAGCCCAGAATGGTTGTGCTTTGTTTGGGATAAGGACAGGGAGGCTGTTGGTTGTGCCAGGTGTAATCATCACTTGGGCTTGAGTGGTGAGGAGTTTCTCAGGGGAATCACCTGGTTTCTTTGTAGGATGGGGAGTCAGACCTAAGGTTTTTTCCCCAGGGAGCTTCCTCCAAAACCCAAGCATCTCTCTCCCACACAACCCTCAGTCCCTGGGAGCTGTTCCGTAAGAAACTGGACAGGCAAAACCAGCACAATCTGTCCCCATCAGGGCATATGTAATAACGGGGATTATCCCAGGCATGAGCATGATGTTGCCATCATCATTACCATCGTGAACCAGATGCAGCCCTGAAAGAAGCCCAAAGCAGGAGGCAGAGTTGGCTTTGCTCCCCTGGAGACATTTCCAGGGCAGCTCAGGACCTGCTTTAGTTTCCAGCAATGTGCAAAGTGACCTGCAGCTCTTTGAAGGTTTTGTTGGGTTTTTTTCATGAAATCAAAGCAGGAATATGACCCAGCAGCTTTCTGCTCTTCAGAAATGGCATTTCAGAGCAACTCCCAGCCATTAAAACAGCCCAGCAGAGCAGAGGCTGGCCCGTGGCTGGAATAGTCAAGTAGGGATGCTGCATTCCACACTTTTAGCTGTGTCTATCTCTCCCTGCTCCCACACAGCTGCAGAGGGTCAACAACTCCGTTAAATGAGAGCCACAGCAGTGTGCCAGGATTTACATATTTAGCAGCTCTCTCAGCATCTTCAAAGAGCCCCGAGCTGTCAGTGCGGCCCCGCAGCCGGGCTGGTCCCTCTGTTGGAGTACCCACTCAGGAAGACAGCAATTATCTCCGGGTAGGATTTGCAGCGAGGGGCGACATGTGGGAGGCAGATGAATCACGACTCGTCCCCCCCTTTGCTGCGCTCTGCCTCCGTCCCCGCCGCCGTGACCCATTATCCCGGGATTAAGCTGCTTTTCGTGGCTGCAGCCCTGGTTTGAAGGGGCAGGGTCTGTCATCACAGGGGATGCAGGTGGCAGCAGGATCCTCCCCTGTGTGACGCCGTCAGAGAGGTTTCTCTCCCAGACTCAATGTAATTACATAATTCCCAAGCTGGACACTGTTTACATCCTGTTTACATCCCTGTTTAACACATCCCCCTGGTTTAGACGTGGGGACTCACATTTCCAAGTGGGTGATGCTTTTCTCCTGACAGTGGCCTAACAGGGGTGGCA